AAATGGTTATGCTTGCAAATACTTATAAGACAATTCCCGACACGTCAGACCATTCTGTAGCCTACCTTTTAGTAGCAGGTTTCACTGGTCAACTAAAAGGATGGTGGGACAATTATCTAACCAATGAGCAAAGAAATCATATTCTTAATGCCTATAGGTTAGATGATTTTGGTCAAGGGATAGTTGATGACGAAAATCAACCTATCCAGGATGCTGTTAATGCTTTAATATATTCTATTTCCCAACATTTTCTAGGAGATCCATCCCATATAAGAGATAAGAATCAAGACTTCTTGTCAAATATGAAATGTAAGTATTTAGGAGAATTTCGAGAATATAAAGAAGTTTTTCTTCAAAGAGTTTTCCAAAGGAATGACTGCAACCAATCCTTTTGGAAAGAAAAATTTCTCGCAAGTTTGCCAAAACTCATAGGAGAATAAGTTCGCAATAAGATAAGAGAAGAATATGGAAACCAAATTCCATATAACCATCTTTCTTATGGTGAATTAACCTCTTATGTTTATAAAATTGGAACGCAAATGTGTACCAATATTCGTCTTCAAAAGCAGATAAAAAAAGAACAAAAACTCTCTAAAAAGGGATTAGGAGATTTTTGTGCCCAGTATGATCCCTCTTTTGTAGCTTTGGAAAAAACCAAATCCAAATGCTATGGAAAATGTTTTTCTAAACAAAAGGACCAAAAGAAGTGTTACGACTAGTGCTATCACCTAGAGGGGGGTGAATAGTGATTTTATCAAATTGGATGATTTAAACGTGCGAAATGAATATAGTCGAGGTCAACAACTCGTATATACAATATCAAATGAATGTGAATTACAAATTTGCATGTAAGTTATCGTCAGATGATTGCGTCTGATGATAAGATGATGTTATGATGAACTTGTTTGACAGATATGTATGCAGTATAATATCAACAATAATAAATGAAAGTTTAGGGATAGAGAATACTGCACACAAATTTTTATAGTGGTTCGGCTTTATCAAACCTACATCCACTCTCCACGCTGGAAGCCTATTGGCTGTGTTTCACTATTGAATCACCAGAAGATTACAAGAGTAGTGCTTCACAGATGATAGACTGCACTATCACATACACTCTTCACTCAAGTAATTTTCTTTCTAAAGTCACAACGTGGAATACAGTAATCATAAGTGTGTAAGATCAAAGCTCTATTCAGACTTTGGAATTCTCGATTCTGGTTCTTATTTCTTGTACGACGTTTGCACTCCTTTTATACTCCTCTACTTCCAATCTATCCGTTGGACAGTCTTCAGAGGATTGATCTCCAAATCAACCCATTGGAAATTCTTCCCAAAATAGGATGCATAGCCGTTAGAAAAAGAACCATTATCTCCGAGTGATTTGATCGCCCATACAATCAAATCAAGGTTTCCATAAGTGTAGTTCTTCGTGTTTAAGAAACGATCTTGTGATTGCCAATTAGGATATCTTGAGATATCAATTTGATTATCCTGCATAAACTTGCCAAAAATAACACTTATTGAATCTGACAAGTAATTTTGAATCTGATGACAAAGTCCTTTCATCGACTAAGTCTGATAACTCAGCATTTACCTACATCAAATAACTTAAGTGTAATTCTGATCAGTAACAGATAGTTTTGTCATTCCTCAAAACTCATTAGGGATTTTTCTTAACATTCTCCCCATTTTTGATGATGACAAAACTGTCTATATGCAATGTAAATAGTTTATAGCTTTGAAGCACATATATAAAGCATTGTTAAGCTCTAAAATCAATATTCATATTCTGAAGCATATAAAGCATTGTTAAGCCATATTCATATTCTGAAGCATATAATTGTCACGCCCCGTACCCTACAAACACGTAACATCCCGCCGCGATCGTTAAGAATGCGACTCCCAGGATTCGTCGCCGACCCGCTACCATCGAATAAGAGAATATACGCGGAAGACAAACGAACACTCCATTCAACAAACAGTCAAATGGGATAATAGAGAGAGATAATTTAAACAAACCAACAAACCATTTTATAAACTTAACGTCACGTATAGCGATAACATATACAAGCCTTCCTAAAGGCCACAAACTCAAATCACGCATACTCATAAAGGGATAGGGTGGTCGACCTGCTCTACTACTCTATTCAAAAGACGAGCTCCAAAAAGATAGGGATTTCTAACCCTATCAAAAACCTCCACGGCATCCTGGCTGTAACGCCCCGACCTCGGGGTTATAAACGTGACGTCCCGTTCATTATTTCTTTCTTTACACACAAGCGGAAGCATATCTCGGGACAATCACATTTTAAACAAACAGCGGGATTAAGACAAACAGCATCATGAGCAAACCTTATTTTTATAGGACACGCAAACATATTTTACAAGCCAACTTAGTCGATTTTAGCCGTTTACACAACAATAACAAGTGGCTTGGGTGTCCTAAGCCCACTACTTCGGGTTCACAACTCCGAGCTTTCCCCGAACTCCAACATGGCTCAAACTCCCCCTGTCGCCGCTGTCCGTTCGACCATCCTATGAACCTGAGAGGGAAAAACGGGGGATGAGTCGGGGAGACTCAGCAAGTGAAAACACTAATATCAAGCGAGGACGAGACAATCGTCGTTCACACAAGTCAATTCTTACCGTACCGGTATCAATGGCATTTCAAATAGCAAAGTCATGCTACGAAACCAATAAAACAAACATCAAACGTGAGTATCACACGCGAACATCATTAGATGAGAAACAACGAACAACCATGAAACCAAGAAACGGGCCAACCAACCCATGTTACAACGTATCGTAACTTCCTTTCCCGGTATTAGGGATTCACTTACTCAACGGCAAACAAAACCAGAGAACGGGGTTCGAGACGGGTGAGCTCGGGAAATTTCGGGCTTTCTCCTTGCTTCCTTCTTGCTTGGCCGAGCAAACCTAGGCCTACGAAGGCCAAACCGTGGGCTCTTGGGTAGGAACGAGAAGAGACACGGGCCGGTTCGGGATTGTTTTGGGCGTGAGCTTCTCGGCCAAAGTGAGAAAAACAAGAAACAAAGGAAGAAGAAGATGATGGTGAGGTTGGCGTGAGAGAGGAGAAGGGGGGGGGCATTTCACGTGAGGTTTCTTGCTTCCTTATAGCCAAATAGGCTTGGAGAAGAAGCCAAGTATTACTGTGCACAATAGTCAAAAGTCATGATAGCTTGTATTTAATGCCATTAAAAGCTATTAATGGACTAAAATGATGAAGAAGCTAACATTATATCTTCCTCATTGGTTCTCCTCTCTCTCTCTCTCTCTCTCTCTCTCTCTCTCTCTCTCTCTCTCTCTCCTCTCACGGCTACTCCCTCTCTTTCTCTCTTGGCCGAATGGCCTCTTTCAATTTATCAAACCCCAAACTTGCTCCTCACTCAAGACTATTAATGCTTGTCATGATGAAGAGGCCTCGAAAGTCTAAGGTCATGATGGATAGCATTAAAGTTCATTAATGAACTATAGCCAAAGGATCACGATGAAGAGCGCACAGTGAATCCAAGCCACTAATGATTTCTTTCTTCCTTTCCCTCTCTCGGCTCTCTCTCGGCTCACTCTCGTTTTCCCCCTGAGACGGCCTCCAATCAAAGTATAAAATATCTCATTTGAAAGCTCAAAACGTATGCTTTAAGTCACCAGAAGACACCAAGTCCAAATTCCAACGTTCTCGTATAGAAATTGATAAATCTTTGAAATCTGACAAAACCGGACAGCTTTGCACTGTTCACAAAATTGGACTTGAAAATATAGTAAATGGACACCGAAAATTCTCAAATTTGAATATGTCATAAACAAGGCCTTAAAAAACATTTTTTATGAAGAATAAAAAATCTAAATCTCTCTGTAAACACTATTTTTAGTAGCTCAAAGACAGACCAAAAACAGTTCGCTGGAACAGACTTCTTGTTTCTCAAAGTAAGCTCTGTTCAGAATCCAAATCATCTCGACAAATTCCCAAATTTATACACGTTATATAAAAGGACGTTCTCAACAAATTTTGTGAAGAAAACGTTTCCAAAATCGGCCCAGAAAAGCTTGTAGAAAATAAATACGGTGTAAACATCACCGAAATACTCATTCTGGGCAGTTTTACACGATCCGAAAATCAGACCATCGTACTACTTATATCTACTCCAAAAATTCTGAAATTAAAGTATGTAAAACTTCAAGATGTTTGGAACAACTTTCAAGAAGGAAGTATTCGGAAATTCGGATCACAAAAGTCTACCCAAAAATAACAAAACGAAGGGATACAAAAGATCTGAAACTGGGTTTTCCAAAACAAGAGAAAACAATTTAGTTCTGATTGGCAAACCATCAAACTTAAACCATAGCCATTTCCCAGGGACTGAAATTGAGGATGTGACAATTCTTCCCCTCTAAAAGAATTTCGTCCTCGAAATTTAAAACGTACCTGGGATTTAACTTACCTTTCCTTCCGAAGTGTGACACACCCCTCATTAGTGACACCTTCAGAAAGACATAGTCGCCTACCTGAAACTTAAGCGATTTCTGGCGCTTGTCAGCCTAATTCTTTTACCGACTTGTGCCGTCCTAAGTTTTTCTCTACTTATCTGGACAGCATCTAAGGTGAGTGGGACTAGCTCTGGACCCCTGACCTTCTTTTCCCGACCTCGTTCCAACAAACTGGAGTTCTGCAAGCTCGACCATATAATGCCTCGAACGGTGCCATCTTGACGCTTTGCTGATAACCGTTATTACAGTTGGATTCTACCTTCCTTTCTGAAGGTAGCCTTGTTTAGCTTTTTCGGAAAACGTCGAAAATTTTCTTTACGGAAAATCTTCTAGCTTTGGCTTTCCACGCTTCCGCTGCGCCACTCTGATTTATCTTTTACCATCCTTAAATATTTCTTATGCTTGCTTGCTTGGATTTTTCGATACATTGAAACGTCGTACATAAATACTATGATAAAACAGTACAAGTACAGTTCCGATCACCCGATTTATCAAGTCTCCGTAATAACATTCTTGGAGTTTTCCGCTTCCTCTTGAGTAATTGCATAAATCCTTCCTTGAGCTGGAGGACGATTATCATGCGGTGGAACTTCTTTTTGTTGCATCGCCTGTGGTTGTTGTGAATTCTTCACTTGCTGTCGTTGCGGGCAGTCCTTTATGCTGTGGCCTTGTTGACCACAGCCGAAACATGCTCCCGTTTGTTTTGGACACGGAGCATTGCCATGGAACCTTCCGCAAGTATGGCAAGCATCGCCTGCAGTGGAAATTGGCTTCTGATTTTTGATCTTCTTGTTAGGAGTGGAGAAACGGTTTTCTCCCGACATCGGTCTCTTGTCATGATGCTGGTTGGATTGAGAAGTCGGATGATAGGGCTTTCCTTGGTTAGTCGCCGTGGCAGCTCGTTCTAAGGACTCTTTCTCCACCAGCTGGGCTCGTTCATATAGCTCGTTGTAATTCTTGAGGTTCAGCGGCACCAACTGTCTCCGGATATCTGGGTTCAAACCGTCTCGGAATCTTTTTGCCCTTTCCACTGGATCTTCAATAAATTTAAGGGCGTACCTCGACAGTTGAGCGAACTTTGCTTCGTACTGGTCCACCGTCATGTTGTTTTGTTGAAGTTGCAAGAATTCCTTCATCTTTCGGTCTCGAGCACATTCGGAAAAATACTTTCAGTTGAATGCTTCAACGAAAGCATTCCAGTTGACAGCAGCATTTTCTGGGAACACGATTTCCTTGGTCGCTTTCCACCAATAGCTGGCATTACCTTGCAGTTGATAGGTCGCTAAGGTAACTTTCTCTTCCTCGTAACATCTCAAAAGCTCAAATGCCTTCGGAGTTCATCGATCCAGATTTCGCTTCTTCGGGATCTCCGGCCCGATAAACTTCGGGGGTTGGAGCTTCAGGAATTGCTCGACCAATCCGTGCATCGTACGGCCACCATTTCCATTTCCATTTTCATTTGCTGCCACATTCTCAGCATTAGGCATTCGTTGTTGGGCCTGCTGTCCCAACAGTTCTCCTACGGTCGCCAGAGCCTGCAGAATTCCGTCTATTCGGGGGTCTTGATTTGACTTCCCCTTCGAGGTCGAGGTCGTAGTTGGGTCCCGAGCACTCATATTGGTATTCTAAAGGATCTTTCTACGACACAAGAATAGGTCAGTGATCACAAACAAACAGGAGCACTTAACCTATTCAACCACAATCAATCATTCACATGCATAGGGGTGTTTCCTAGCTAACTACCCCAACTTCAGCGCACCTTATCACTCTAGGTCTTTATTCCCGCTTTGATTTCAGAATCGTTTTCCCAATTCGGTGCACAGTTCGGTCATTCTTGCCCTTACCCATCCTAGAAGCCTGCCAGGAGCCGCTCAATGACCAGGCCTTTCACCCCGGCGCCACTTCTGCCCAGAGGCCGCTCAATGATCAGGCCTCTTACCCCGGCGCCACCTCTGTCAGAAGCCGCTCAATGATCAGGTCGTATGGCCCCGGTGCCACTCCTCGCTCTCGTCGGACTAGCCAATTGCAAGCTGCCCCGAACTGCACCTACTGGAGGGAAAACTTGCTCTGATACCAAATTAAACTGTAACGCCCCGACCTCGGGATTATAAACGTGACGTCCCGTTCATTATTTCTTTCTTTACACACAAGCGGAAGCATATCTCGGGACAATCACATTTTAAACAAACAGCGGGATTAAGACAAACAGCATCATGAGCAAACCTTATTTTTATAGGACACGCAAACATATTTTACAAGCCAACTTAGTCGATTTTAGCCGTTTACACAACAATAACAAGTGGCTTGGGTGTCCTAAGCCCACTACTTCGGGTTCATAACTCCGAGCTTTCCCCGAACTCCAACATGGCTCAAACTCCCCCTGTCGCCGCTGTCCGTTCGACCATCCTATGAACCTGAGAGGGAAAAACGGGGGATGAGTCGGGGAGACTCAGCAAGTGAAAACACTAATATCAAGCGAGGACGAGACAATCGTCGTTCACACAAGTCAATTCTTACCGTATCGGTATCAATGGCATTTCAAATAGCAAAGTCATGCTACGAAACCAATAAAACAAACATCAAACGTGAGTATCACACGCGAACATCATTAGATGAGAAACAACGAACAACCATGAAACCAAGAAACGGGCCAACCAACCCATGTTACAACGTATCGTAACTTCCTTTCCCGGTATTAGGGAATTCACTTACTCAACGGCAAACAAAACCAGAGAACGGGGTTCGAGACGGGTGAGCTCGAGAAATTTCGGGCTTTCTCCTTACTTCCTTCTTGCTTGGCCGAGCAAACCTAGGCCTACGAAGGCCAAACCGTGGGCTCTTGGGTAGGAACGAGAAGAGACACGGGCCGGTTCGGGATTGTTTTGGGCGTGAGCTTCTCGGCCAAAGTGAGAAAAATAAGAAACAAAGGAAGAAGAAGATGATGGTGAGGTTGGCGTGAGAGAGGAGAAGGGGGGGGGGGGCATTTCACGTGAGGTTTCTTGCTTCCTTATAGCCAAATAGGCTTGGAGAAGAAGCCAAGTATTAATGTGCACAATAGTCAAAAGTCATGATAGCTTGTATTTAATGCCATTAAAAGCTATTAATGGACTAAAATGATGAAGAAGCTAACATTATCTCTTCCTCATTGGTTCTCCTCTCTCTCTCTCTCTCTCTCTCTCTCTCCTCTCACGGCTACTCCCTCTCTTTCTCTCTTGGCCGAATGGCCTCTTTCAATTTATCAAACCCCAAACTTGCTCCTTACTCAAGACTATTAATGGTTGTCATGATGAAGAGGCCTCGAAAGTCTAAGGTCATGATGGATAGCATTAAAGTTCATTAATGAACTATAGCCAAAGGATCACGATGAAGAGAGCACAGTGAATCCAAGCCACTAATGATTTCTCTCTTCCTTTCCCTCTCTCGGCTCTCTCTCGGCTCACTCTCGTTTTCCCCCTGAGACGGCCTCCAATCAAAGCATAAAATATCTCATTTGAAAGCTCAAAATGTATGCTTTAAGTCACCAGAAGACACCAAGTCCAAATTCCAACGTTCTCGTATAGAAATTGATAAATCTTTGAAATCTGACAAAACCGGACAGCTTTGCACTATTCACGAAATTGGACTTGAAAATATAGTAAATGGACTCCGAAAATTCTCAAATTTGAATATGTCATAAACAAGGCCTTAAAAAACATTTTTTATGAAGAATAAAAAATCTAAATCTCTCTGTAAACACTATTTTTAGTAGCTCAAAGACAGACTAAAAACAGTTCGCTGGAACAGACTTCTTGTTTCTCAAAGTAAGCTCTGTTCGGAATCCAAATCATCTCGAAAAATTCCCAAATTTATACACGTTATATAAAAGGACGTTCTCAACAACTTTTGTGAAGAAAAAATTTCCAAAATCGGCCCAGAAAAGCTTGTAGAAAATAAATATGGTGTAAACATCACCGAAATACTCATTCTGGGCAGTTTTACACGGTCCGAAAATCAGACCATCATACTACCCATATAAACTCCAAAAATTCTGAAATTAAAGTATGTAAAACTTCAAGATGTTTGGAACAACTTTCAAGAAGGAAGTATTCGGAAATTCGGATCACAAAAGTCTCCCAAAAAATAACAAAACGAAGGGATACAAAAGATCCGAAACTGGGTTTTCCAAAACAAGAGAAAACAATTTAGTTCTGATTGGCAAACCATCAAACTTAAACCATAGCCATTTCCCAGGGACTAAAATTGAGGATGTGACGCTGGCGGTGCTCCATCCTCACCAATTGGGTACTCAGTCACCCAATGCTCCGTTTCCGTTGGTACCCCGAAACGTAGCGGAGGCTTAGTCATAATCAAGATCGAGGGACTGAAATGTTTAATAACGGGGAATGAGATAAAATCTCAATAAGTAAACTGCCTAAGCCTCGACTAGGGCAATACATACCTCCGGCACCCTAATCATGCAATTCTAACCAATAGGGTAAGTTCCTATCAAACGAACAATGGTACCACATACTATGCAAAGTCTCGAATTGCATCACAACCATGGCATACTATCAATATGCATAATTGCAATAATAATAATCCAGACATACCTAATCATTCACACGAGTCTCGATTATAAGATGAAATCACTTCGGCCCGTCCCATACCGTGCCTCACGATTTTATCCCATAATCAAGCACAAAGCATGCCATATGCACATAACACTCGAAGTTGTCCAGATTATTAACGACCCACCATAGGTCACACCGAACTCCCGCCGGTCTTCTGGCATAGCCAGGCATCACCCCACTACTTTGGGCGTGGCAACGTCCGGGATCGAACCTCCCCTCCCCCCCTCCCCCTCCCCCCCCCCCTCCCCCGACAAGTTGGGTACCGGATGGCATTCCATTTAGGAGCATCAATCCGGCCTCCACCGCGATCGGCAATGTCTGGGATCGAACCCCCCCGACATGTCGGGTACCATATAGCATCTGAACTTCCGCCGGGCATTGTCTAGAACTCGTCTTAGACGGAACTCATCATGGCCATACACATAAACACCCACGTATTGTCAATTTTAATCTTACTTAATTAGCCAATGCAAGTGTTTATGACGTGCAATTTACTACGAATAAACATACCATGAATCGCACTCGTTTTCGTATCAAACATCAATTTCAACCATACGATCTTCATTCTAGGCCACGAAATCATCATTCCAACCACACGATCAAGCTATAGTCAACTACTCAGCCATGATTAAATAAATTAACTATGCGATCGGCATTAAACAACTAATCCACCACACGATCGTCATTAAACATTTAATCGGCACATAATCGACTAATTAGCCATGCGATGTTGATCAAAGCCACACGATCAACTTCAAGTCTCTAATAAGCCATATGATCAAATTTTATCACATCCTAATTTAATTTAAACCGTACGATCAAAATTAGCACATAATCATGTTAATTAAGCCCTAAAATTTACATTAACCAATCTAGAATCAATGGGGGCCATATGATCAATGTCTAAATCATCCAATTCAGCCACTACCATGATTATTGCAGCCACAAGACTAACCCACAAATTTAATTAAAACAACCACTAAACAATCATAATTAGCCAAATTAAGCATAATTAGCAACATTAACCATATGCTCAAGCTCAAGTCACATAATATACCTATCTTAACATTCAAATCAGCCATATAATCATCAAATCCAGCCACCAACAAATCCTCAATTCAGCATCTACCATAACCCCTTAAATTAACCCCTAAAATAACCCCTAAATTACCCTAACAACCCCTAAACACTATCCATTGGTAACCTACTAACCTAATCAAGGTTTAGGGAGTTAATTACCACTCATTTAAGCTAAGAACTAAGCCAAAACCAGCAGCACAAGTCACGGCCAGATCTGGAATTTCTGGCGAACGGCGGCGGCCAAACGGTGATCCGACGAACGGCGACTGATCCGGGCGTGATCGGCAGCTTGGGGGCAGCTCACAGCGGTCCACGGTGGCTCAAGGGTGGTGGCATGAGGGTGTTGGTGGGTGGTGGTGTGTTTCGGCCAAGGAGAGAGAGAGAGAGAGATAGAGAGGGCTGAACATATCTCTCAAAATGGAGGGCTAGGATGAGTCCTTGGTGCC